AAATACCTTCTCAAAAGGAAGCTTGAGCTGTATGCAAACCTCTTGTGACATCATAAAAGTTATGGCATCCAATCCTTATATTCATTGTTATTTATTCTTATAATATTTTCCTTTTTCCTTTTTATTTTAATGTATTTAACAAATGTCCTCCCACAAAACTGTTTGCCAGTGTTTTGTACAGCTGCAGCACAAAGTTTATATGAACAGCGTGCGTTTTTGGAACTCATACTGAAGTAGTTTGTGAAAAGAACTGGGGCAGACCGGAAAAGACAAATTTCAAAGATCAAAGATCATTTGAACAGAAGCAATCATTTCAAGGGAAGTTAACATAAAAACCATACAGTCTGCAATACACACTTAACATGACAGAAATAAAATCTCTAACGAGAGGAAACCAGTCAAGTCACAGATGCTTAAATCGTGAAGATGATCACTGTTTGCATCAACGTTTCTACCAAACATCATTTTCACTGTTGCTTACATTGAGCAAGATTTTCAGAATCTGTTTACATCTTTGAAAACTTGTTACCCTGTCTTTGTGTTTACTAATGCCAGCTGCTCAGCTTGATTCTTCTGCCTCTTGTGATATAATTGTCCCAAATAAACACAAAGCAGCATTACTAGTATTCTTTTTTTAAATATATATTTTCAGAACATTATATTTTGTGAAATTCTCTACTGGAAGGTCAAACTTCATTATCCAGATGAGTTTTTTTTTTAAAATGATTATTAATTTACATTTGGAAGTGCAAGTACAACACTGGATAGTGTCTTTAAGACTGGGCTTGGACATGGAAATATCTCAGTCAACAAAAGCTTTTAAAGGTCCCCAGGGTTTGTTGACATATGAACTTGAAGGGTCTCCAGAGGCTATCTGATTTCAAGGAACGACTTGAGGTTCTTTACTAAGTGAAAACGTTTGTGTTATTGTGAGAGAAACATAAGTTTTGTCTCATATCATGATTTGATTTTAAAAAGTGAGCAACTTTGTGTCTTGACTTTTCTTAATCTATACTTAACTTCATTCAAAAAGTTGCAAAAAAAGAGACTTATGTGAAAAATAATATTTCTTTTGCCCCCCCCCCAAAAAAAGTTAAAAGCTCAATGTTGTTTTTACTCTATTTAAAGATAGTGTCTCACTAAGTGTCTTGTTTTGTTTGCACTGAAAAGCTCTCTTTAGCTTAATGGAGTCTCTGCTGTTCTGTACAAATTGTCCATGTTTACTCATCTCAAGAGAAGCTGAAGAGCACTCAGTGCCGGCCCTTTGAGATATCCATCTAATGTTGAATGAGAGCAAAAAAAAAAAAAAAAAAAAAAGTGGAGTTCTGAGAACGAAGCCGGCTCTCAGGTCTGCTGTGACCTTTAATCCCGTCAGAGATACCGTATCTGTGATGGGAAAGTAAACAGAAGTTGAAGACAGGATCTTCATGTTAATCACTGGTCCTCTGAGAATTATGCATGATGTTTTCCTTTGACTCACACGTTCACCCAGAGGTGTTCAGTTCTTTATTGTGGTTAGCAACAATTCTGACTTAATTATATAAACAGCAGAAGAACAGAAGAATCCAGAAATCAACCTTTCATTTGAGTAAACGTATCCAAGGCATTTAACCAAATAAAGTGAGACACTCTTATGAGATCTCACACAATTTCCACAAAATAAATGTAGCTGAACCATTTTTTTTTAAATTTACACTTCAATTAAACTTTTCATTTAGATTCCAGGATGTGATTTAGCACAAAGGACCATTTTTGTCGCTCTTAAGACTGGGGGGTTGGGGGGGAAAGCTACTTATCTAAATCTACAGTAAGATCAATAAATTAAAAGTTTTAAATGACTTGAACTGTCAAAAACAAGGTCCAATGAGGTCTAAAGTCTTTCTCACCACAATGAATTTTGATGAGGATAGTAAAGGAGGTATAAAAAAATCTTAAAGCATTGCATGTTTACTATTAATTAGAGAATCGGTGATGTTGTGGGTCTTTTCCATGAACCTTGAAAAGCTTGTTAGAGTGTAGGGCTTCATAAACTCTTTAAAATGTCTTGTGAAATGTTTAGAGAAAGAAAAATTTTATTAGCAGGAAGGGGGATGTGTGTTTTTGACACTTCATCAAATTGACCGGTCTTTTTTTCATAGCAGTAATGATATTGGTCTTTTTTAATTTTTAATCTTGCTTTGTAAAATTACCTTTAATCGAACATATGTCGAATCCTGCATACTACTTTTAAATATTATACAGAGATAGTGAATAAAACACTTGATTTTTAAATTTTTTTTTTCAGATTTTGTATTTGTAGCCGGAACATTTGAGATAAAGCTAGAGTTTATCTCAAGCTGCTATAAATAAAAGATACTTGTACTTTTCCACGCATAGTTTATCGAAGATCTAAAGCTTAAATCAAAGCATTATGCATCATCTTCAAACAGACCTTTGAAGTATTTGTAAGTAAAGAAAATAATTCAAAAGAAGAGACTTTCAGAGATACATCCAAAGGAATGTTAAATGCACCAAAATGTAGGAAAATGGAAACAGTATGAAGCTGTGGCTTTCAGCTAATATCTTCCAGGTTCTTTTTTCTTCTCAACATTCTGGATCTTTTAGAAGTCGATCTAACGCCGCTGGAGATCCGCGTGTGCTTTTGGGTTTTGTGGAATCCAAAAAGGAAAAGAGAAAGTAGCCATACGAAAATGTCTGTTTAATCATTTGTTGTTTGTGTCAGGGTTTATGCAATTCAGTAAGGATTTTTTTTTTTTGCAGCATGCAGAGAAATAAACCACAGTGAGTCAAAATTTCAAAATACAACCTCAGATTACCAAATAATCTAGAAAGAAAATTGTAAATGTTTACGGAAATATTTGTGAGTTTCTGGTCACTTGTATGAAGGCTCTGAAGATTAACTGTGCCAGCAGAGATACAAAAACCGCTAAAAATAAACAGAAATGCCTAGAAAAGTCAGGGTAGAGCTCCCCCAGTTGTCAAGCAAAGATCTGAATTTGCAAATCTGACAGATCTGAAAAGAGGGATGGACAGTCTGCTTGCTCAGCAAAAAACAAGCGGTTGACTGAAGATTAATGAATGTCAGAGAAACAATCCCCTGTTCCGGGCTTGTAGTTTTCGTTTAGATGCAAATGAACAACAGAACATGTAGGCATTTTATTTTCTGGGACACACCTGCTATGGCAATTTAGCTCAAACGGAAAGACTATTTTCCGACAATGATGCCTTTCACAAGGTGGGGCTTTTCTTCAATACGCCCTAGAGGAACACATGGCAACTTTGGGTACCGTTAATTTTCTTAAACACAAACGTTACAATGGGAAAATGTTGGAAAGTAAGAAGAAAAGATAGTACTAAAGATTTGAGATCGAGCAGCAGGTTTGGTGGTGGCTGGTGGTTGCTGGGAGCAGGGGTTTTATTGAGGCTTCTGCAGCTGCGTGCCCCTCTGAATGGAGCTCATGTCGTTTGGTCTGCATCCCAGAACCAGACGGGACTCGCTGGTGAGAGCCAAAATTTGAATAACAAGTGTTCAAGAGAGGCCAACTGTTCAGATTCCTTACAAGGTCAAATAAAAACAATGGAGCCTGTTTGTCTGGTGAACACACGGCTCTCATTTGGGTGAGTTCAAAAAGTTTCTCCCTGGAAGACGGGAATCTCAAGAAAGTTTTCTAAGTGGTGCCCATAAGGGGATCACTAATAGGCCTAGCATGGCAAAACTGGTTTTGCAAAAACAATGCAAAGCAATAGCCATACTTTATCATTTTTCTTAAAGGAAATACATATTTTATTATTAATTTACTTACTCTGAGGTTGGATTCAGGCTTTGAGTTCACAATTGTTATATTGATTTCTATGTCTAAAATGAAGAAATGTGGAACCAAAAGCAAGCACAGTATAGCCAAAATGCAGCCAGATGTTGCTGAATATTGACAAGACAGCCATCAATGCAGTGCTCAGTCTCCACCAAAAAAATAGCTCAAATTTGAGTGATTCATCCATTGAGGAAGAGGAAAACAGCTGAAATGTTCTCTGAAACCAGTAACCTGGAGACCTAACAAACTGGTACCCTCAGGAGGGATATAATTTTTTTCCTTCCTTGTGCCCAGTTTGACTCTGATTGACAACAGTGGCAATTAATTTCATTTGTGGCGAAATTAACTACCCGTACAGTGGGTGTGCAAGTCTAACTTTTCTCCACATATTTATTCCATGTTTTCCTCTTGAGGGTTTAACTACATAATTGTGAAGTAAATGTTAAAAGTTTATTTTGATATAAGCACCTTATGTACAACAACTGCATCTGTCTCTGTGATTTGTTTAATATCTACTTGAGCTCTCTATGCCAGTTGTGGCATGACCTGTGTTATATCCTCTTAACTAAGGAAAGATTATTCCATTCCCTTAAATCGAAGAATCCAATTGTTTCTTAATCCAGGGACAAATAGGGTTTCAAACATGAATAATTCTTTTGGGGGGAAAGGTGAAACATGCCATTTTCGCCAATTTTTTTTTTTTTTTTTACTTAAATGAAATTCATCCATAGCTGTGTCCACAGTGTGGACACAGCTGTGTTGTGAAAAACACACATTTTTCAATTAATTTTTTTTTATTATCAGTCCCAATATATACAGGGGCATAGCCCCAGAAGCTTTTGAATAACAGTGGAAATACCATTATGGTTTATTTAGGTTTTATGAAAAGCAAGTCTGCAGCCCTTAAGTAGCTGAGTGGACATCTTTTTAAAATCTTGTCTTTCCTAACTTTTGATCAACATGAATAGCTCCTCCTGTACACGTTGCTCTTTGATGACCGAAATTCAGGATTTTCTAAGGTCAAACTTTTTCTTGTGAGATCTTGAAAACTGCAGCTAAGCCGCAGACCCAGACACCAAACCAAACCCCGCCCAATGAACCATCACAGGCTTGCATGTCAGATTCACAGACCTCCCAGAAGGCGTGGCCACTGTGAGAGATTTTAAATACCCCCACTTTACGATGGAGCTACTCATTTGCTATGATCTCTAAAGGAGTTTCTGTGTTTTAGTTTGTGTTTCGCTGAGGAGGAGCAACACCATATGGACTTGGCATCAGTTGCACGTTGCGCCGCTTCATAGTTTTTTTTGTTATGTTTTGTTTTGTTTTGTTTTTTTGAAGTTTCTTTTGAAGTTTTAATCATGCCGAAAAATAATGGGAAAAAGACAGCGATCTCCGTAGCCTCCACGGGATGCCTCTGCCTGCTGCTGCTGCTGCTGCTGCTGCTGGTCGCTGTGCAGCATCACCGCGTCCAGGTGGCCGAGGAGACGGATGGAGAGGACGCAGCTGCGCGCTCCGCGCAGGAGGACAGCGCACCGCGCGCCCAGGATAAGAAAGGATTCTCGACCTACTTCACCAAGCTGGCCCGGGGACGCAGGGAGGTGGAGAAGCCCGCACGGACCTCAGCCGCCGCCTCGGACCCCCCTCCGGCCGAGGACATCAGCGCGGCTGATATCTTCATCGCCGTGAAGACAACCAAGAAGTTCCACCAGTCCAGGCTGAACCTGCTGCTGGAGACGTGGATCTCTAGGAACATGCAACAGGTGAAAAAGCATTCCTGACTTCTTTTTTTTTTCATACTAATTAGTTTGTTAACAGCAATGTGCAAGCTGTCAATGAAGGTGATTCAACTTCAATTAAATATTAAAATCTTTGGCGATTAATGTTTTTAGGTGCTGCTTTGTTCCTCTTGTCACCTTTTGGCACACTTAAATATCCTCGCGGTTCCTGTAAACGGTGCTAAGTTTCTGCAACTCTTTCACTTTTTATTCTCCTCTGAATGATGTCCCTGAGAACGGAGGGAGCAATTTCAGGACCCCCTGTCCTCCCTCTTCTTCCTCCCACCTCCTCCTCTCTGCCTCCCCACTGCCTATTATCCCTCCTATTCTTCGGTGTCCCTGTGAATGCCGCTGCTGCAATGGATGCTTCACAGAACCGACTCCAGCTCTGTTCCCCTTTTCCAGGACTAACAAAGCATCTTACTGAACAAGAAGAGGAGTGGGGGGTGGGGGGAGGCTTTCCCAGCTCTCTCTCTCTCTCTCTCTCTCTCTCTCTCTCTCTCCCTCTTTCTCTCTCTCTCTCTTTTTCTCCATGGGAACATGGGAACTGAGTCTGGTTCAGGCACACTGGGAAGGGATGGGAAAATGGGGGTTTGATGAGAGGGGATGCCTGGGACAAAAGCGGTGCATCTGCAGGCAGGTTTGCACACTGGTGCACAAAGAGAGGCCTTTTATTTCTTTTTTTTTTGAAGAAAGCATATCAAAAGTGATTTTATCCTGCATGTTGATGCACTCCACTTTCAGAACATGCTTGAATCACCATCTGTAACGACACTGACCCATCAGTCACTACTGGCTCTAACATCTTAGAGCAGGAGAAATCATTAGCCGGAACTGTTTGAACATCTCCCATTAAAGGCTTGAACACACCCTCGGCATCTCGCGACATGTGCTAATTGGCTTGCAGCTCTGTCGTGGATCATGTTAGTGAACTGCATCATCCAGAGGTAACAGCATGACTGATAGGCATACAGCTGGGGGGATGGAGGGGGACAGGCAGGTGGGAGGAGTGGGGATCCCGCAAGGACAAAAAGGATAGACTGAGCAGCACAATGCAGGAGGGAGTTTCTGGAGGAAGGGTGCCAGGTGGTCAGGGGGAGACGGAACAAAGAACGGCTTTAATGCCGGCCATATGATGCTCAGAGTTCCCACCGTGTGCATATGGCCGTCCTCATCAGCAGAGGTTTGATTCTCACGGTCAGCTGACGAGCATCTGTGAAGTTTGGATTATTGTTTATGCTAATCTCTTGCTAGACGATTTCACTTCCTTGCACTGCTGTCTATGCAAAGGGACATTTTTTAAAAAAATTTATATTCAAATGAAGTTGCAGTCTCGAAACCAAAAGTCTCCCCGTATGAGCCTCGAACATTTTTATTATAAATATTTCCGTAGCCGAGTTAATAAATTGGCTTCAGCATGAGGCTGTAAAGTACAAGTGGTCGGCCTTGGCACAGAGGCAAAGCGTGGACGCATCACGCCTCTAACGTATCCCTGAATTGTTTTCCAGCTCATTTGTCCTGACAAAAAGTGCTGAAAGGCTGCAGAACAGAGAGGGGAAGGAGTCAGGGTGGAGGTGGTTGGTGGAACGAAGGGAGCCTGGTGGCCTTCCTTCCTGTGGAGCTGGAGGCAGCCAGCCAGGCACCACGTTCAGCTCAGACAGGGCCGTTCGTGCAACCCCTTCCTGTGCTCTGGATTGCACCGTATCCACTCCCCTCTTTTTCATTTTCTCTTTTGTTTCTTGTCTCTACTTTAACAACCAAACATTTAGAATCCCCCCCCCCTCCTCTTTTTGGTTGGATTTCATATTCTGTGAAAGCAGCTGTACCTTTAAGCTCCAGGAATCCAACAATGGCAGCAGAAGCTCTTCCCTAAAGTGCATTCTCTTCACTTAACTCCTGCAGCTGTATGCAAATGCAGGCAAACATGCTCAGAATTTACCCAGCGGAGCCTTTACCCAGCATGAAAACTCTCCGCATTGTTCTCTTCAAGAGCCTCTGGCTGCGTTTGGGGCTCAGAGCAGGAGAGGGAGTGAGGGGGGGGGAGAGAGGCAGGATGAGGAGGAACAGGGGGTGAATGGCCACACACGGTTTTCGATTTACTAATCAGTGGTGAGATCCCCCCCACCCCACCCTTTCCTCCCTCCATCTTTCTTTCTGTCAGTGCCCTGGCAGCTCTGGCAGCTGCCTCAGTGATTAGGCCATCTATTCATCGAGCTTTTAAAGCAAACAGCGCCAGCCTGTGATCCCCTCGCCACTGAAACCACCACCCTGTCCTAAACAAATACAGTCTCTCTGCTTTTAGCATAAAAAGGGGAAGAAAAAGAAAAAAAAAACATCTGCTCAGAATTTGCTCCGAACAGTCCTGCGGTAGCCTCTGTTTGCATCCTTTATTGCGTAGAGAAATAGATCTTTAACTGCGGATGCACGATCGAGGCCCTGGCTGACACAAAGCGCCCTGTCGTGAGGCACCACGACCCGGCGTGTCTAGACGCGTGCCCTTGATAAGGTGGCGTGATGTTCGGCAGGTGCTGCCTCACCTGAGGTGAAGAGTAAACATACCCCTGGCGGTTATAAAGCCTGCGGCCTCAGGCCCTTTCATCATACTCATTGAGCAGCTTGCACCTGCTCTGTGGGAGATATCGGTGGCGCCTTTGTTGCTCACCCTTTTTATGACTAATTGCTACATTCAACAAGTGCCTGCAGTCTCGAGGTTAAAACTCCTCAGACGTTATGAGTCCCTCAGTCACACACCTTCCAGGACAAAGACGATGGAGTGTTGGCTGTAACTTTTTGTTACGCCACTGTTTCAGGAGAGTAAACACTGCGAGGCTCCGTATAGCAGGGCAAGCTGGCTGGTCCAAGGGTGGACGTGATGTGGGGTGTGTGTCTGGGAGGCGGACAGTCTGCCTCCTCCTTTGTCGGTTGTCTGGGATGCTTCAGGGCAGCTGTATGGTTGCCATGGAGAGAGTAAAATGCAGGACAAAAGGCCTTTATTAGAGCAAGGGGCTGTTTAACGCAGTGTGTTTTCCACTGCATAAAAGACAAGTTGATTGATGCTAATCGCAGCGGCTTGATGCGAGGAAGCGGGATTTTGTTTTGCTTTTGATTGTGTGAAAGCTCTACATAATTAGCCAAAGTGTTTTTTTATTCCTGTTTTATATTTGGACCAAGTCATCTTATCCATGACTTCTCTTTGTCCACAGACTTACATCTTCACAGACGGTGAAGATGATGAGCTAAAGAAGAAAATCGGTGAGTTGTATGTGGAAATTCGTCAACAGAGATGTTTTTTGTTTGAAAGGACATTTCATTAACTACTAAATAGATTTTATGAAAGCTATTAATTTTTTTTTTCTTTTTCTCAGTTTCCTTTGATTGTGCAGTCTCACAATAAAACTATTTCTGTTTCGGTCATTTTGCTCCTGCAGGAAGTCACGCAATCAACACCAACTGCTCTGCCGCTCATAGTCGGCAAGCTTTGTCCTGCAAGATGGCGGTGGAATATGACAAGTTTATTGAGTCAGGAAAAAAGTAAGCCTTGCTGCCCGAGGATGGGCTCGTGCATTAATAGTCTGAAGATGATTGCATCTCATCTCTTGTTTTGCTTTTCCTGCTTCACAGATGGTTCTGTCACGTAGACGACGATAACTACGTGAATGTTCGGACTCTCGTGAAGCACTTGTCTCAGTACCCCCACACCCAGGATTTGTACATCGGTAAACCGAGTCTGGACCGGCCGATAGAGGCCACAGAGAGGCTGGGCGACAACAAAATGGTACGATAAAGCATTGTTGCCCTTTGTGATGTTGCTGTTTTAAAGAAACGGCAATGTAGTAATTGTCAGTTTTATTCCTAAACTAGAAACCAGTCAACTTTTGGTTTGCCACGGGAGGAGCTGGCTTCTGTGTGAGCCGGGGTCTGGCGCTGAAGATGAGCCCGTGGGCCAGGTGAGAATATATTTACTGTTAAAACCAGTGAATAAAAAGACACATCATCTTTTTCTGGCGTGAAATCAGACTGAACTTCTTCTGTTTTATTAAGATCACCAATGTTATTTTCATTTGCAATGTTACTCCATTCTTTGATGAATAGGTTCTTTTTCTACTCTGAGTGGCATTTCAGCCCATGTTAGTATACCAACACATACACAAACTGTTTTTTGCATTACTTCTGGGTTTGATGTGCACATTTGGTGCCAAAAAATGTTCATATTTGGTTAAAAAAAAGAAGAGGTTATGTGTTTATATACATGATATGTAAATATCTGGTTTTAAACACACCTCAGTAGAGGGACTGAACATTGTGAGAGTATCTCATTTTGAGAAATGAGTTAACAGAGAAAAGCATGAGTTGTGTTTAGTCTTCACCTTTGTTTTTTCTCTTTCTCTTTTCTCAGTGGTGGCCACTTTATGAACACAGCAGAGAAGATCCGTCTGCCCGATGACTGCACCATCGGTTACATCATTGAGTCGGTTCTGGGAGTCCCTCTGACCCGAAGCAGCTTGTTTCACTCCCACCTGGAAAACCTGCAACAGGTGTCCCGATCTGAGATTCACAAACAGGTGAGACCCTTATAGGATATTTGTTTTCTTTTTCTGTTCTTAAAACATGCATGTGCAGGTTAAATTTGGATAAAATGTTTATAATCTTTTTTTTTTTTTTTTTCCTTCTGCTTCCAGATAACTCTCAGTTATGGGATGTTTGAAAATAAAAGCAATATCATCAGCTTGAAAGGGGCTTTTCCTGTGGAGGAGGATCCATCAAGGTGGGGACGTTTTTCCGCTTCACATTTTTGCAGATATTTGACACGTTTCTGCATTTCCACTGATTCAGTTCTCCGTTCTGCACTTCCCAGGTTCAAATCTGTGCACTGTCTGCTGTACCCAGACACTCCATGGTGTCCCCCTCAGGTTGCCTTCTAGGGTGACCGCTCCTTTCTCATCCTCGTCCCCGTCGCGCCTCGGTATCTGAAACGCTCACGGGGACCAGTGTTCTTTTTCGTATGAGACCGTGTTGCTGCCGCATTGACGCCGCAGCCGTGCATGGTCTGGAATTGTTGTACTAAGCTGCTGTGCGGCCCTTCTTTGGACTCTTTTTCTTCCTCTCCGGGGCCACAACTCCGCCCCAAAACGCTGGGGCGGAGGAGTGCGTCTGTAGGAAGGAAGTAGCTTTTGCCATTTAGCTTTGCAGGCAATCACTCGTGCTTTTTGTGATGTAAATGTTGCTTGTAAATGCATCAGAAATTCTCATAGAATGTATTCTCATATATTCAAGCCTTTTTTTGCCAGCACTATATTTTTTATTTTTTCCGTTAAAAACTGTAATGCCACTCAGGTATGTTTTTGACGAGATACTTTATAGCGTGAACATTTTTCTTCCTGACATTTGCATTCAGTTCTAGTCTAAATGACTCCGGATAAATGCTCTGAGATGAAGATTTTGCTGCAATTTTACATGAACAGTGTTACTTTTCCCACAACCTGAGCTGGCAGTTGGCAGATTTCCAAATGCATTTTTTTTTTCTTTTGAGGGACCTAATCTGAAGTATGTCAGAACAAAGCACTTTCCACCCCTTATTTTAGAAAAAAAAGAGACTTTTTTATGATTAACTGACTGAGTTTATGTACTTTTAAGACATACTTTAGATTTGATTCCAAGGAGAACAAAAATAACCCCCTAAGAGACTAACTTCCCTATTCATGTCTATGTAATTAATAACACTCCTTGCATTAGTTACAATCAGGGAAAAGCAATGAGTGGAAGAGATTGTGTTTCGGGGGAGGCGGGGGGAAAGCTACAATCTGCTTTGAAAAGGTTTTATGTTGTTTTAAGAATTGCACAGCTGTGTTTCAAATGACCTGACGTCTGCACCTCACCTCTACAGACCCCCTCACAGCGGAGAAGCGCTGGCTAAAACAGCCAAGAAACGGCAACATCTGCTCGTGTCTATTGTGGCTTGCACAAAAAAGCATTAGGAGTTTATCTGTTATTGTCAGCACAATTGGTCCTTATTTACACATAAATCCAGCTGGTTATTGTTGAGGTGAGAGCAGCGTCAGTGTTTCCACATGGAGGTGTTTTGATCCCTCCGTGTCCTCTCTCACCCATATTGGGTTTCATCTTTATGGCGGTATTGTATACTGCACCTTTGTTTAAAAAGAGTAGTGATTGTGTATGCTTAGAATGTAACGTTCTCATCGTGGTTTACGCCGATTTTAAAGGACTTGGCCAGGGTTTGTGTTATTTTTTTATTTTTTATTTTTTGCTATTGCCTTGAACTGTGCTAGATGACTGGTGTTTATTCTCCAGTATCTGGAGGGTTTTAGCAGTTCATTCCCACATCTGACTTCTCAGGGATTATGAGCTGATCCTGGTATTAACCGCCAAGGGACCCACGGTGGGACCCGAAAAGTTGAATAAAAGTGCATAACCACTGGGAACCTTTTACACAGTTGTCATGTTGTTACTTTAGTTTTGTCAGAGTTTATATAGAATTTTTTTTTTTTTAACTAGCTGCAGGCAAGTTTTATGTAAACATGGGAGCAAGTTGATGCAAAACCAGAAGTGGTATCTCACGCTCAAGGGGAAGCTGTTGAGTATAATATTAAACAATCTACTTTAATTTTATTTTTCTTCTCGCTTGACATGTATTTACTTCTCCTTATGCATTTACAGTTGGACTATTGTTTCTGCCAAATTTGCATAAAAAAACCACTTTAAGTTAAAAGAACAGTGTGTAATAATTAGTGACATCTAGTGGTCAAGGTGAAGAAAGCAGGCATGTTAACCATTGCAAAACTTAAAATAAGTTGCCTCTAAATTTAGTTACAGTTAAAACAAAAAATATTTCTGCACAGTTTGTGTATAGTTTTTCTACCAGTATAATTACATTTATTAACACTATTAGATCCTCTAAATGTACAGAAATATATTCATCAGGCAATGTTATGGCATGACACTAGAATGGCATGAGTTAATTAGTTAGTATAAAATAAAATATTGTCTACTAATGGATAGACTTTGAATAAAACCACACGGATGAATCAGAAACCTGAGAAAAATAATAACGTTAAGCTGAAACACAGAGGACATGAGTTTCATGATCCTTCAAATATCATTCAAGATGAACCATAAATGTACAAATATGGAAGACACTTGTTTCATTAATGACAAAATAATCACAATCACAAATATACACAGTCACGCATATGTGCATGCATCTGGTAGTATATAATAAATATGCATAATAAGAAGTATTAAAATGATCCAAGAATAGATCCTTGTGGCATTCCTACAGTGCAGTAAAGATAAAAAGAAATCACCCCAACCTAAATGTGTTGCTTGCACTGTTTGATAGACATGATTTCTTCTACATATTTGCTTGTTTTGGAAGAACAAAAAAGTGTATCAACATGGATGAGAGAACATTATGATTGTTTATTTTTTGCTTCTTTAGACTCTGTCTAATATAATAGATTAAAAAAACAATTTACTGCATATCAACAAGAGAAAAGTGTTATATTAAAAACATTTTGTATGCATTTCTACTTAAATACTGTATTAGCTGTAACTGTAAAAGAAAGACTCTCTTTCAAAGCACACTAATAAGTTTTCCCACCTAAACTTCTGGGATGGATTTATATAAACAATAATCATGATCCAGTGTTCCACAAAAATGATTAGAGATAAACTCCTAAAACAAATAACTGCTGCAGGAAGCTGGGGGGGATGGCAGGGTCTTTGCCAGAACGGCAACAGTCCATAAACCTAAACATCATTAAACATGTATGGAGAACTGCGCAAATCCCGGAACTAGATGGCTTTTGCTGGAGAAATCAGTCAAAAAACCCAAACAACAGCAAAGAGACTCTGAGCTGGCTGCAAAGACTGTTTGTTTTGGGGAATTGTGACACTACAGAGGGCATTTGTTCACTGGTTTACCGGGTAAGCACACAGAAGACTTTAACACTAATATTTTAAAGCAATAATACAAAAAAAAAAAGAAAGAAAAAATGATAAGGTGCTTCACAGGAAATGGGAGTAGCTGGCTGATGCACAGCTGAAGATTCATCATCAAAGCGATGCATGGGAGACAAATTACTTGCAGCAAACATCCTAACCACAAACCATAATCACAGCTTTGTCCTTCAGAGATGTACAGTGGGAAAGAAGCTAAAGCCTTTCAAGTGTCTGCAGCTCATGTTCAAACAGTTTTTCTACGTGTTGACTCATAGAAAGTTTTGTATAAATGCGAACAAAAAAAAAGTTTGCCTCATCGGCGTATCGAATTTGCAAAAGAAAAAAAAAAGAAGAAATCAAGGCATCTTTTACGGTTTGTTTCAGAGACAAATGTGTTTTACAAACAGAAGGAAGAGAGAGATTTGCCCTCTGGCACAGAAACCCTGGGAAACACAGCATGTGGCTTAGGTATGACAGTCTTTGAATGTAAAAACAGTAATCAGATAAAAAACAGTGTGATATTTGCTTACAAAAGAGACGAGTTTTTATATCAACAACAAAACATGCATGTCTTGGTCTAATCTACCTCTAATCTCCATAATCTCCCATTCTAAACAACATTTCATATAGTTTTATTCATCTTAGGTTGCTACAAAACAGGGAAATAAGATATGTGACAGCTTTGGACCGATTGGTGATCCCTCGACATCAATAATCTGTCAAATACACAAACATCTGCGAGCAGCTTTTGAATGCATAACAGCCGTTACATGATTATTGTCCTTTGGTGGTTTTCCACTGTTTATCTTCCCTGCAGTGTTGTTTGCTATTGCAATTAAGGCTGTTTCCATACCAGCTGCGGAGCAATCCTGCCTGACTGAGCTTTTAAGCGTGAGCTATTAGCATTTTCAGTCTGTACGCCGAGCTCAGGCCACGTTTTTCCTCCTCACAGTTTGGACAGAGGACTGAGAGAGAGGAGCCACTCACTGGAAATGATTTATGATTGGCTAATTTGTGCCCCTTATGCAGTGGATCTCAAAGATGTACACGCACTCATGTGAAATTGCTGTTTATGTTCCGCAAAAGGGGATAATTTTGGAATGCTTTGTTTATTTTGTAAAAACGTTTGCTGATTTTGACCTGTGAAAGTTGTACTTACTTACGTTTATTGTGAATCTGCACTTAATAAACTGATTAGAATTTAATCGTGAATTAACTAATGTGATATTTCTCCTTGATCATGTAAAAAAAAAAAAAAAGTGATGAGGTGCAATAAGCGGCTTAAATAAGAGTGTGCACCCTTAGATAAATACTTTGTTTTATGCACCTTTTAATCTGCTTTCAAATATTTAGTCTCCAGCTAAACATCAGCTACAGTGAATCTGTTTACACTGAAATAAGCTTTGGCTTTAGAAGTGAGGGTTTTCTTCAAATTTGCTTATTTGTGTCCATTAGCTGCATCTGTAGTCTTGAGACAGCTCCCAAAGGATCAAAATGATCTCATTGTATAAAGGTATCAGTCAGGAGCAGAGTACAATAAGATGGAAAGGTTTAAACGCAGAGGGGTTTCCATTTGAATAACTGCAGAATACCTTCAAAGAAAAGAAATGACATCTTTGGAATGGCTCATCTGGAGTCCATGATTAAATAAAGCAGAGCTGAGGACAAGAAGATTTCTCAAGATCCGCTAGATTTGGAAAATATTTACCAGGCAGAGTGGGCAAATGATGAAGGAAGCTGATGGACTATTAGCAAATTAATGCTAATAGTAGTAATGCTAAAGTAGAATGAAAAAGTGCTTCAACAAACTATTAGTTTATGGTCTACACCTGTACGCTAACAGATTACTATAAAGATTGTGTGTACATCTTTATATACACACAATTAGGATATTATTGAAAAATACATTAATTTCGTTTCACCAAGAAACACATTTTATCGCTCAGTTACACAGACTGATGCTTTCAAGCCTTTATTTTTGTTAACTGTCATAGATTTTCTGCTTTCAGGTAATGGAAACACAAAATGTATAATTTGATTATATGAAACCACCACAGAAATATGAGGAAATATGATTTTACAGTTTATTGAATGTGACTTAGGAGGGACCATATTTTCACACTAATTCTTTGTTTTCCAGGTAAATTGCGTGAGATATGTGAAAAATGTTTCAAAAATGGTTTCAAGATGTTCTCATTTTATTTACTGCACAAAAAACCTTTGACCCTTGAATGTGCAAACATTTAATGTCAGTTGAAACATGTTTGACTGACATGGCAGTTGAACAGTTGAACATGTTTCGAGCAGCTACCAAAAGTCTGACCATCAAAATGCCTCAAACTTGAATGAAAATTAACATAATGAGATATTACTCATTAAAACTGTAAATCGGCGGTTTAACTGAAACCAAATAATGACAGATCCAAAGCAGTGGAAGGATCCCCTGGAATGCTGTTTTGCATATCCTGGATGTGGCGACAGATGTGCAGCTCATAAAAATCCAACTGCAGACGGCCGCCGCTGATCCGGCCACCTGCCTGCCAGTGAGCTGAGGCTGAGGCGGCGGTGTTACGGCTGATTTCTTTTCGCAGATAAAGGAGCCTCTACCATGAATGCCATGTTTACAACACACACAGAAAGCCTGCATGACCTGCCTCGCTTACTTTAAGACTCACGCTTTTGGGAGACGCGTCTCCTCTGAGGACATGGGCCAGACACTAAACACAAAACACGAGTCGTTTATGTTGCAACTGACAAGCTGAGAGAGCAGTTAGGTTTTATGACTGATTTTAGATGCTCACGTCAAACACTTTAATCAGTAAACCAGAGGAATGCAGGTTTGAACTCGGGAGGTGATGGCCATAACATGCTCTTTACAGCTCCGTTACATCAGCCCGTGTCTCCATTAAACGTCAGAGTAAAAACAACATGTTGTGGAAAACAAACTGACTTCTCAAGTACATTTAAGCATATATCACAAGTGACTGCTGAAGCTCAAATACAACCACAAAGGCGTGAAATTCAATAAGGATTGACTCAGATTACAGTTGTAAAAACAGCTGAAAGTTACAAAACAACTGAATGTTAGCGTCGCTAATCATTTCAGGGCTGTAAATTATTTTTTGATGTCTGTAGAAGAAGCTCTCCGACCAGAGTTGGTGTACATTTTAAATACTTTTTTTTTCTTTTTCTTTTTCGTTTTATATCTCTGCATTCAGTCGCAACAGCAGGAAACCCAAGCAAGCCTGTTAACACTCTGCATTGTGACCCGTTTAAAACACAAACACCTCTGTGTGCTTTTTTACACCACCTATCAGATCTCTGAGTGGGAATTGTGAAATTTCACATCTCTATAAAGCCACACGCCTTGCATTTGTTTGACTCACAATAGAAGAGCGGCTCTAACTGCTGAGAGGAAAATGGAAAGCCCCATTTTTTTGGGGACGGGCGGGAGGCGGTGGAGGGGATGTGGCGAAGCATACATGTGGATGGATGCTTCTGAGGGACAGGGTGCAGGGGATTACAGAGACGCTGGCCAGTTGCACATTGTCTTCATGACTCTCTGGCTATATCAGTCAGTCTCCAATTAACAGCCTGCATTGTCTGCAGGATTAGAGCTGGCGGGACAAGCCCCGCTGGACTGATCTCACAACAACTGGCAGAGGCCTTAATCCCTCTCAGCATGTGCTACAAAGACCCACCAAGTAGGAGTTTACCCATAATCCGGGGTATCACATATCTCCACAAGAAGAGAGACTTGAACTTCATAAGCAGCACTTGAGTTGAGGACCTGAAAAATGCGGAGGACCGCTTGTCTTGAATATGTAGGGTTTCAGTTTATGCCGCAAAAACAGGTTCAGGACAAGCAGATCAGTTTTTGATAGATCAGTTAACTAAATCATCCGCACTGATTTCTTTTTCATGAGAAAGCTGGTTAGCTTTCTCGTGAAAGCTACGCTCTTGTTTTATGTAAAACACAATAAATAAGAATGAAACTAAATTAGAAAAACATCCAAGAAACCTACTTAGAGCAGCATATTCTATGAATTCAAGGGGAAGGAAAAGAGAAGTGTCTTTGAGGGACGCTGCAATTAAGATGACGGTCTGAGCAGCGTGGATATTCGGAGTTAAGGTAGCTCACAATTTTTGGTGCAACCAAAAGCCAATTCTCGATTGCCCCAACATTTCAGTTTGGATCATGGAGCTGACTGAGGAGAGAGCCCTCAACGGCGTAAATGAGAAAGATACAGATTATTTAAAATCCGTAGTGGGATATAAGAACCAGATAGATGAGTGACGGTGTTCTTGACAGGTTCTAAATGTTGTAGGGCTGCCGGATCTGATTGAAAATAGTCCAGATGGTAGGTTAGTAAAGCAAAGTTCTCAAGAAAGACGGGAAGATTTTCGTTTCACAATAGTTAGCTGGAAAGAAATGGATTTTATAACGGCACTAATTCCCACACCACATTTGTTTTATTTTCAATAAAACTTGGAAGATTTAACTTCATTCAGGTCATAATTTTGTAAAGAAAGCTTTGCTGTGGTGTCAGGAGGTCACGGCTGTACAGATTACCCGGCAAGAATTAGGCCTCAGTGTTGGCAAAGTAATGATACGGACCATTATGTTTGTCAAAGATTGACCCCAGGAACAACATGTACACGATAAACAACAATGGGCCGAATACAAGACCCTGAGGCTGTTGACGAATCTCAGGGAGTTGGAGAGAATAGGATAGGTTTGCAGACCCATTTTCTATGTTCAATCCAGTTTTTCACTGTCTGCATTAGTGCTGATTTTTAATACAATGATCAGAATATCATATTAAATCACTGTCACTTCATTCATTCATTCATGAGGATTATAAACCTAATCATGAGAGTATATTGTGTAGTAATGTTATATGTGGTGTATGTGCTTTCCTCATTGTTGTACAGTAAGTGCATCCTTCCCAAGCATGGCAGCTGTTTACAATTTGACACAATAGGCCGCCAGGCGGTTTGTTTCTTTTTTTTTTTTTTTTTTGTCTCCATCTGAAGAAGAAATAAAGAGGTGCCTTTGTAGTCTGCTGCTTTATCTTCACTGTGATGACAGTAAGTTGAGGTATGAGAGGAAAATGAGAACAATATGACCAAGACTCATGTTTTACTTGATGTTTTGACATAAGCTGAAACTACATGCAGTCAGAAAGTCAGGGGCACTAAATATTTATGGAACCTTTTGCAAGAAAAAATCAACAACGTAGACATTTTCAGTTTTTCCCCAAACACGTGGAAAAGCCGCACGTTTAAACAGTTGGTCCTCTGATACATCGTCACAGCGTTATTGTTTGACAGAAGAATGGCTTTTAGACATGAGGTCCGTCAGAGAGGACTCAGGCGGAGGTGACGTCCGTCTCCCTTGTGTTTGGGTCTGATAAAAGCGAAGCCTTTTCTTTTTTTGTTTTTTTTTTTAAATGGAAGTGTTGAATTGCCTTGATGTGGGGGAAAACGGGTGTGTGTGTGGGGGGGGGGGGTTATCTCACTTGTGTTACTTGATTTGCTGCCTTGCAGCTGCTCAACACTGAGAAGAAGGAGAGCCATGGTCTGACAGCTTGGCAGAGAGCCCAGTCCAACTCAGGAAGTGTCCGTGTGTGTGGGGAGGGGGGGAGCCCTCCCTCCCTCCCTTCCTCCCCTTCTTTCTCCTCCTCCTCTTCTCCATTCAGCTCTTCACCTCAAAGCATTAGTAATGCATTCCTCCAGTTCAGCAACAAGCAGGGTAATTCAATTTCCTCAACAGTGGGGCCGTGTGAAATTTCATTTGCATGTTCAGTTCTCTGAGTTTTTGAACAGGCTGTAAAAACTTCCCTGCCTCCATTATGCTTTGTTTGATCTTCAGTTTTTCCACAACAAGCAGCAGGCGATCAGGAGATGCTCTCATCAGTCTATCAGTGTCTGATGCTTTAAATACCTGAGGAGGCTCTACAGAGCTGCTTTTTTTTTTTTTTTTTTTTTAATTCAAAATATGAGTAATAGCTACTTTTAGCTGAGCACAAGTGAGGTTGAAAGATATTTTTCTGTTCCAACCCTCAAAGTTGGAAAGTATGTTTTTGGAGGACAGCAGCTGGTCTGGGGCCACAAAGGAAGTGACAAAACCAGACTGGTGGCCTGGCGCTGACACTGACCTCCCCGCCTGCTGTCGATGAGGCGAGGTCAGACACACAAGTCTGGCTTTTTCCATCTGCACCACTGCATAAGAAATACCTACACTCATTTAGATCCAACGTGAACAAACAGATGTATATATAACTTTAGTAGCCTTGTTATAATCCCTGTGAGTAGTATGCACTCTGCATTTTTGTAACACACTTACGGCCATTATTAAGCTTTAGTTGGAAATCTGTTTTGTTCACAAAGAAAGATTTTTTGGCTTTTTAGATTATATTCATCACAGCCTGATATGTTAAAACCTCTAAAGTAATAGTATATATTGTTTCTGTGATTGTAGCCATGACATTGTCCATCCACTGTTTATTCCCAGTGATATCTAAAGGAAATTTAAATGAACCAATTAACTTATGTTATGTTTTTGAATTGTGGCAGGAGAACCAAGGTCAGGACTTTAATCCAGGATAGATAACAGACCGTCAAATAATTGGACCAACTTCTGTTTTTATTTATTCCTTTGTGAATTATTTTTTTTTTTACTGCAGATGCTTTGGTGGCTAAATCTGATCCGATGTATTAGAGATAAGAATGCAGTTTCACAGAAAATTAGCAACAAAATCGTACAATGTTGAATCAGAAGGAAGCGGAAAATTCAGAACATGAGCCTGCAGCTGTCATAATACAAAATGTTTCTTTTTTTAATTCTCTGACAGTTGTATTTGTCTAAGGGGAGTAAAAGAAAACAAATGAAAATGCTTTTATGTATTCCCGCATGATCAGTGTTGAGGTACACCTGGGAAAAAAGTGCTTTTTTAACTTTCAGGACTCCCAAGCTTCAACTTTAAATGTGTTTTTTTAAGTTGGAAAAAGCACAAAAAGCTTCGTCTGTTGCACAAGAAGATCTGAGCAGCGACGCTTTGCTGCTCCCTGGTGTTTGTTCTGTGTCAAGATTTGTTCGCATTAATGACCCCGACAGCCTCTGCACTTCAGTTAAAGTTCCTTTAATTTCAAAACACAGCATTCAAGCTTCAACATGACCACAGCCTTTACAAGAACACATTACAAAATTATGTATAAAAACAGGTCTATTACACAAAAGAAGAACAAAAAAAAAAGACAAATCTATTCAATATTTACATTAATTCTTTAAAAAGTAAAATAAAGGAATGCCTTAAAATGAATCACAGGCCCTCTAAAGAAAGAAAAAAAATAAAGATTTCAGATTTCAGAGTCGGAAATGTTTTGTAATCATCTTTACCTGTACATTACAAAAAGATGGATACTACTACTACTACTACAAAAAAGAAAACAAAACCCAGACTGCATCAGTGAATTATCAAAGAAAAAAAAAAAACAGTTTTGAAAAATTCAGGCTCATTTTTTGTTTCACAGCCCCCCGGGAGCCTTTGGTTGAAAAAAAAAAAAAAACATCTAAAAAGTTACTGAGATACTAAAATATTTGTGCTTAAGTTGTTGGCACAGTCTCAACATCACTTCTTACAACAGATCACATCTTAAGAAGCAAGCAGAGGCAGCTGAAACGCAAAACAACTCACTCCACATTTGAAGGTTCGTCATGCTGCAACAGATTTTCATAAAAAGAATTTCAATTTTTTATTTATTTATTTTTTTTTCACAAAAAGTTGAAGATTTCACAATCCTTTCACAGCACCCACTACTTTCTCTGAGTGTTATATAAATGCTAAAACACATTTGAGGCACCGCATTGCAAATGCATTACATTTCTCCAGAAAAGCCTCTAGAGAAAAAGCCATTTTTATCAAGTCGAAACTCCTACTGGGATGATTACTGCTGCATTTTTTTTTTTGTGTGCGTGTGTGAGCAGTTTGAACCACACAGAGCATTACAGGCAGTTAAGAAGCTACAGGGAACTGAAACTTATCCTTAAACCCTTAAAGCGACCACACACTTATCTTATTCACAGTCATCTGCTGGAAAAATAAATTCCGACTTGTTAGTTTCTTTCAACCAAATAAAACATGTGTCAGGTCAGAGCTTCACAAGTTGAGCAACTACTGCTGTGAAAACGAGGCTCATTGTAATTTTTTTTTTTTTTTTTTTAAGTCAACCAATAAGAAGAAAGAAACAAGACTGTGGTCAAACATGCAATACCACAGGAAAACTGGTCCCAGACAACAGGTTTAAGACAGAATGCCACTATAAGCCAAGTGTGTTAGTGTGTGTTGGACGTGCCACAAGTACAGTACGATTCAAGCTCCAAGAACAGTAGAGTCTTAACAAGCTAAAGTTAATCTAATCAATGGAACAAGTAGATCTAAGCTGAGTGTGAAAGACCACATCTACAGATTCCAGAGTAAACACAGAGTATGTTACAGTACTTTAACCGCCAACTTTGATATCATCATGAATTATAGCTAAAAAAAAAAAAAAATCTTTCAAGTCCATCGGATCAGCTCAGGAGTTCGGTCGCAGCACCCTTAATGATCCGTGGAAAGATAAACAACGAACAATGGAGTGTATATCTGTACTTCTGACTCACAGTTTGCAATCTGATGCATGTCCTCTGGTTGTGCTTCAGCCAAGCAGGAGAAAGCATGTTTGGTTCAAATAAACTGATACAGAGAAAACAGGCAGGAAGCAGAAGAAATGGGACTGATCAGTTGAGGAGAGGCTTCAGAGATGTGCAGCGCTGCAGACTGGTGGAGAGCAGAGAGACTCAATGAGCAGGAGAGTTGTTGGGATCGGGTCGACTGTTGTGATCGGGTCGACTGTTGGGATCGGGTCGACTGTTGTGATCGGGTCGACTGTTGGGATCGGGTCGACTGTTGGGATTGGGCCGACTGTTGGCCAGGTACTTTGCCCGCATGCTGGAGGTGTACTGTAAACAGAACCAGACGAAAATAGGTCATTGTTCTACTCTTTATACATATATAGAAAAAGGTAAAAAAAAATCTGTCTGGTCTCAAAAAAAAAAAAGAAACTACTAAATCTAATGTAGGATTTTCTCATTCAACAGCAACACACTGTTTTTATAGACAGAAAGAGATTTTTGGAGTTCTTATGAATGAAAAAGATGCATGAATTTCACTAAATCTTGAATAGATTACTGTAAAGAACTACAAAAAATACAAAGGCAAAAGGAAAAACAACAAAACACTAAAAAGAGAAAATCCTGCACAGACCATCTTTCTATGGGAAAATCAAAATCACAGAAAAATTTACAGGAGACAAATAAAAGGAACAGTCAATATAACCCTGCTGTAGTTTGAATCGTTTTTCTTCCTGCTGTGTGTAGACCGACAGAGTCAGACATTTATATACAGGTGGAACGGATCCATGCATGTACGGATGCGAGGAAAACGAGCATGACAGGGGCTGCATTTCACTCCTGTGGAGACGGCCATCTTGGATGCATTTAGGTTTAGATGTATTTTATGCCATAAAAAAAAAAAAAAAAAAAAAAAAAAGAACACACCAGAACTTCCTCTTTTCAATATCAACTTGTAACCATTTAGACCATGAAGTTACTGCAACTTCATGGTCTGCATGTTTTTATTACTTATACTACAGGAAAGAGAATGGTAGAATCTTACACACATTGTTATTATAGTGGCACTCCAGCCAGATATTCAAGACCAGATATTCAAAGTTCTGGTTTTGTCTAGATCTCTGACATGCTGGACTTGTAATTTTTTCCATGAGATCAAGAGAATAGCTGCAACGGTCTTTTGTGTAAAACTACTGGCTGCATTCAAATGCCTCCAATAAAAAGCTTTTATTTTGAAAATGTCCACATTGTCACCTGGGCTTCATGTGGCGAGGATGAGAAGAGGAGAGGGATGACAAAAGACAAAACAAGATGTAGAAACACTTCTCTGTTTGTGTGGATGTTTCTCTCTATATTAGAGAGAAAGAGTCCTTCCTCTGCCTCCACTCTCTGCCTGCAGCTAATGCTAAGTTCATTAATAGTTAAAAAAAGTCAGACCAAAAAAAAAAAAAAAAAGGTTTTTGCTGAATTAAATGTGACCTTATGCTTTCACCCATGCATTATTTAAACAAAATAAACTAATTATAAAGTCATTCATGTTGAGGACCAAAAGTGCAACAATTAGATAAAGAAAAAATTTTGTTAGACATTTATATTGCGATATAAACTGAAAATACACAATAAGTTAATGAGTACTTATATTTTATGTATTTAAATATTCCAACAATTTATATAGCCGATAAAAAAAATTTAAATGTGAAATCATTATGTTTTTAAAAAATATATTATTCAGTATTTCATACTTTTGGTTTGCAACAGTTTTTCCTCACAGATTTAAGTGACTCAACAGGGAAAACAGTGACTGATCTGCATAATAAAATAGAAAATATTCAATGAGCCACAATCAATTCATGATGGGCCATGGCACAGGAAAAATGCAAAAATAATTAAACAATGAAATACAGCATGATTTTAACATTATTTAAACCTTAAGTGATGATTTCCACTTTGAGTTATCTAATACTAATTGACCAGAATACCAAAATAAACATAAATGCATTATTTTTTTTATTGATTTCTTAGGCCCAAGCAATCATTTAGTTATTGAATTGGAGCATTTTTGGCCCTCGATAAAAGTACTCAAGAAAATACTTCCAGCATAAAAATGCTGGAAGAGATTTATAATTTCACCACTGATTCATACGCCACAGTGACTCAGGGAAGAGTTGCAGCCTCACATGTTCCTGTTGGTTTGGGAGTGGGGGAGGCAAACATGCAGCCCAGGAGGGGGATACAAACATCAGATTAGACACCAGGTAGGACAGCAGAGAAGAGAGGGCAGGGTACATGAGGGGGGAGGTTTCCCTAAAATCCCACCACTGGGACCTTAGAATGGGGTCAGCAAAGCCAGAACTCTGGGAGGTGACAGAGAGGGAGGACAGGCCAGCAGGTGTGGGGAGGCGGGCGGGCGGCCATGTTCTGTACCTGTTAGTAAAGCAGACGAAGTTACCAAAACGATCTTGAACTCTCCGAGGGCTTTAACTGCCAGCAGTGACCGCTGTTACTGTCCGCGGCAGTCAAATACAACTGGATGGGTTCGCAGAGAAAGAACGACAAGAAGAGAGTACAGAGCAGATGCACAAAGCAGTGTCCAGGTCCAAGCAGACACACAGACACGAGGGAGAGCAGGGTTTCTAGAGGAGGGGGCCAAGGCCGGGGGCGTGTCGGGAGGCTAAATAATTCAGGTCAACCCTAAACTCTTTACCGGGAACGAACCGAAACAATCCTGAGCACAGGAGTGAACCTCAGAGGTTTGTTTAATGAAGCTCAGAAAAACAGCATGGCTCTTATGTTTGATGGATGTGAATGATTCCTAAGGGCTGAGGGGCAAAATACACACCACACCTGCTTAAAGGTCACTACAGTTGCTGTTACTTATTAAGATATAGGAGGATAATGATGTATAACAGTCTGCTGGTACAAAAAAAAAAGAGAAAGCAAAAACTTACAGAGGGAGGAGGAGACTCGCGTCCGATCAGTGGCGTGTTTTCACAGCGAGAGTTCTGGAAGTTGGAGTTCTGAGCCCTGCAGAATAAAACACACACACATCAAATACACAACCTCATCTAAAAGATAACCCTAAAAAATCTAAACAACCAGTTTAAAATGTAGGTCTTTGTGATGTAAAAAAGGAGACAATAATGCATCAGTTCAGAATTTGTTTCAACTATTGCTGCTGTCAGATAGAAACCTTACATCTCCAAAAATACACCTTTTCAGGAAATTAAATGTAAATTCACACTATTTGATCAAAGTTGCTGGAAATGTAAAAAATGAAACCTCCAACAGACACAATCTCTGGAGCTGATTTTCATAAGAAAACAATTACAAAGTTTTGTCTGACAGTAACAAGACAGCTTTAAAACTCAGATGTTTTAGAATTCTTCTTTTGGTGGCACTCAATTTTAAAATTGTGGCCCATACATTGCAACTACAGTAGGCTTCATCAGACACATTAGCCTGCTAAGGTTTGGGAGAGATTAGCCAGGCCTGGATATCTTTCTTCCGAAGAAAATATTTTTTGCAAACCTAATCTTTAGTTCACAAGAATAGTGGAGATTTTTACTAAACAAGTACTTGGAAATCCCTGCAGCTCCTTCCATGCTGATGTCACTCTGACCAGTTTCAGTCTTGCCTTTTCCATCAGTTTCAGAAAAAAGTCCCGTTTTTTTTCGTTTCTCCAATTTCAGGTGGATGGCTTTGGTATCGAGATCAACATAGTATTAGTTTAACATGATGCATATTTATGCCACAAGTTTACTACTGCTGTTTTACCCTGGAGACTTCATTTTCTCTTTATGCAGAAAAATAAAGTCTTGTTATTCACATCACAAAATGTCAGTAGTGTAGATTTTCGTATATGGATTTTAAAGAGAAAAGGCATTAAACTTTGCTTCCACTAAGGTTTTGCACAAAGTTAGAAACTGAAGTATCCCCATCCCCCAGTATCATTAGCATGGAGCCTCAGAGAGCTTTGGGTTTCACAACCGTCACAGCTGGAGATAAACAGCTGCATCTGCTGACTATGGGGGGAACTAAGCTTCTCTCTGGGGTCACATAAACTTCCTCTTGACAACAAGAGGAAATAATAATAAAAAAAAAAAAAGAAATCTCCCTTAATGTGCAGAGTTAAGAACATGGCATGCAAATGCATCGTCAACCACTTCTGCTTTCAGTTACAGTCTCTTGTTGCATGGTTTTAGGCAGGTGGGACCTTACATGTACTCTGTGACCGGAGCGTTGCTGACGGTGTGGGCTGTGGCAGGAATGGACGTCTCGCTCCCATAGCTGCTGCCACAGCTGTACAGGCTGGGCATGTGGACCCGGTACAGGCTGTCGTGGGTCTGCCGCCCGCCGGGGCTCAGAGACTCATCTACACTGTCCTCATCGCTCCTGCAGAAAGCAAAAACAAAAAACAGAATTTTAAACGACCACCAGGGGGTGCCTCTGATCTACCTCGATGATGACAATGGAGCAAAAACTTGCCACACAGTCACGTTTTTTTTTTCCCTCCTGCGACTTTTAGCCTTTTTAGGTTGAAAACCACCCCTCCTCCCCCCAAAACAAAAAAAAACAAACAAGATGAGGTATTATAAAAACCTCATGTGTAAAAATATACCAATGCAGTTTATTCTGTTTCAACTAAAATGGTCACAGCAAATATATTTTGCTTCTGCCGAGATAAAAATCTGGAACCTAGAAAATAAAAATAGTGCACGTCTCCCCCTGGAGTTCAAGGCCACCACCTGCTTGACTTCCATCATACCATATTTATGACATCATCACTGCATTTATTATACTTCCCTATGGATTTCATCACACATGCATGTTGGGAATTGATTCCAAACAGCATAATTATGGCTCAAAACCCTAAAGAAATGTTGGTCCTGCTTGTAAATCCCAGTCATAACCTGCCTCTGTGCTGCGATTCCAGATGTGCTGAAATAATTAGCTTCCATGCTTCATTACGACTCGACTGCTGAACAAGCTTAGTGGGGAACACTGGAAACAACAGACTGGTAAAAGCGTAAGCTTTTTGCTTTGCGACAGGAAGCACCAGCTGAGATAAAACTGATGAACAAACCCCCTCCTTTGATAAGGAATAATTAGTTAATTATGTGGGGAATCTAGAACCATTTTCTAAGTAACAACTCTGCAGTCATTATCCTGCTGCTAATGGGAGAAAGAAATCTGAATAATGTTACATTTTTGCTGAAGATCAAGCGAAGGGTTGTGATAGATTTTGGCCAACATGGCACAATTAGGTGGAGAAAGCAGCTGGAGTCTTCTGGGCTGGATGGATTTTTGTCTTCAGATCATTCTGGTACAAGATTTAAAGAACCCCCCCCCCTCCGAGAAAGCCAGATTTATTTATTTTTTTAACCATAAATTATTAATCAGTTTTCCTTTTGAATTATTAATCACTCCATATACAATTCCGAGTACAAGTTGGACATGAAAGCTTTTGGACGTCCACGTTTGTGGAGCTTTCCACGAAGGCAGCCGATATCTCACCGCTTGCCGCGCCAGGTGTGAGGCGTGCTGCAGACGATGGAGGTGAACATGAGCGCAGTCACGAAGGAGAAGAGCAAGAGGTAGATGAGGCCTTCCAGCCCGTCGTAGCACAGTCCCGTCATGCCCTGAACATAGTCCTACAAGACAAATTCAGCCCACAGTCAAATCCCTACAGCAAGTCTCAATATTATTTTATCAATCAAATCAAAGCAGTTTTTATCTATATTCTGCCAGATTACATCAATGTGAACAAAAGTTCAATGTTATTTAACTTTAAAGAATTACTCATGAAATGCAGAGTTAGCCATTTATTCATATTTTAACAGTTCAATGGGTGGTTTCACTGATAGATTTTGCTACCACCTGTCCTTTGAGTGTATTCATGATTTTTGATGTGGCCTGAAATGAAAATGTGAAATATACATGAATATACCAAGAAAGTTGTACAAAAATGGTTTTAACTTCAAATGATTTTGGATGTAACATCCTGGGACTTATGAATCTGGGAGCACTGCCGAATTCATAACACAGCAGAATAGAAACAAGTACAGGACACCAAAAATGCAAATAGAGTGAAAACTCGGCCATCAAAGATGGGTTCCTTTATACAAGTTAGCTGCTGTAAAAACTGCCTGAACGAATCAGTTTCCTGGTCGGAGCAGCGCTACAACGAGACGGCGTCTCGGCTTGTCGCCTCTGCTCACCATGTGCAGGCTGCGACAGTCCACCAGCGCCGTGAGCTGATGAAGGCTGATCTCAGTGGTGTTCAGAATCCCCTGAATCTCTTCCAAACTTCCCTGGGAAGAATTGGAGGAAGAAGAAAAAAAAACAAACAAAAAAAAAGCATAACTGAACAGCTGAAACACCAAGAAAATCAGAAATATTCAGAGTTAACACAATAAGCTAAGAACCTTGAGCAACATTTTTCTGTTCCTGCTTGCTAGTCGTTTCTCGATTATTCATTCAAAGCGCATTTATCTGGGAACAGCCTTTCATAAATATACAGCAGTAAGAGCTGAAAAGCCGATTTTAATTCATGATAATTTTAATTTTTCCTCTAGTCAACATTTTATCTCCATCTTTAGCTGGAAACGCATCAGCTTGCCTGACGAAATAGTTTGAACAACCTCAGCACATTTCTCTGTGCGTGTCGGTGAAGAGGGAAACGTGCCCCGCTGTGTTCCCAACGTCAGCTCTCATTCATGCCGCCTTCAACGGAGTAAAAACCAGCGATGGACAATACCAGCGCTGTGTGGACAAGGTCCAGTGAAAGCCTAATGCAGCTAAATGGACATAAAGCAGGCCCCAGGTGTGCCATCAGCTGATGGTTATGATGGACGGGTCCAGCTCCCCCGACTGGAGCGCAGTCCGATTCCTTTCACCAAGATACAGTTTCAGCTCCTCGTATCTTACCCTGGTCTGTTTGTATTCTCTGGTGGCAGAGCGCAGCAGCTCAGACACATCGTCCTGCATCTCCACTAATGCTTTATGGCTCCCTGAAAGCCTCTGAAAAAGAAAAAAAAAAAAAAAATTGACAGTGAGTGACGACCGTGTGCAAATAAAAGTTTTACAATTCTCAGAAATATCACTAAGAACCTTCAGCGGCCATTTCTATTTTGGTTCTATAAGGCATTTCATAGTTAAAAGCACAAAGGCATCTATACTCTGATATATGAATACTCCAATAACAATAGACGCCCTTGACATCAGAAGCACTCAAAGGTTTTGACTTATTGATGTGGGCCAAACGTATAAGACGCAGATAATCCATTTTGAGAAACAAGTCTGACATCGACAGGAATATTCCACAGAAACATGGCAAAGCTTTGAGTTGAAGGTTTTTCTCCAAAGTTAAAATATGTAAAAACATTTCTCCAAGCTGTAGCTACAAATTTTCATTTAAACCTTTAGATCAGAGCTTAGTGCAGGAGGCAGCGGATCCAATGGAGACGCCATTAGGAGGCGTAGATAGACTTCAAAGGGAACAGGTCATAAGTAATAAAGTGAAACAATTTTAAAATGGCAAAAACAAAATAAACAAAACAAGTGTCATGTACTCAAGTAGCTCACTGGAGATCATAATAAGGAAGCAGAAGTACTGCTTTCTGTTTTGAAAGAGGTTTATCTTTGTTCCTTGTAAAAGGGAACTTCACAAAATGGAGGAAGTTGTGCATTTGGATTGATACAACATCCAACACCTAGTAGAGATCAATAAAGGTTTTCATTTGAATCAAATTTGTTATTTGGAGGTGCTGCATTTGTTTTCCTTTTGGATCATAAAATAAAAACTATTATTCAAGAAAATAAATTAATTACGCTGTTCTAAAAAATCTTTGCGCAGACTGTGCTGGTGTGCAAACAAATGTTTAATGAGTACGGTTTGCACAGACTCAATCCTATTAGCATGGACACGTGCTGTGGCGCATCAGATGAACTCCCTGAGAAAGGAACGCACTGAACTGCTGCAGAGGGATGGAAAAAAAAAATTGCTAATCAAAGCAGGTTTCGTTGTCATCCCTTAGATTTGAGTTGTTAACACATTAAGCTAATATTTCAGAGTAAACAAATTTGCAGTTGTAAAATGCAAGTCCAACAAACCTGCTGGAAGGGGTTGGTTTGCTCCGGACTGCAGCTAAGGTAGTACTGGAGGACCTCTGAGAGGAACAGAGATAAGAACATGTTAGAGAAGCATACATTTATTCTGATTTGATCGAGACAACATAATTGCCATTTCAGCAATGTCTGCATTATTGTTCAGTCAAATAACTGTCACCTGGTTGTCATTATTTTACCAAAATCCAAAAGTCAGTTGATAAGGCATTTATCTTGGTAAGTATCTGAAAAAACTGACCAGTCACTATTGCTATAAGTTTAACAGAAGGTCACAAAACACAGTGGAAACTCCTGAATCTACTTCAACCCACTTCAGATAGATTTCATGCAAAGGCAGAGTTGCAGCATTGATGGAGTTTAATCTGGTTGTGCTGCAACAAAGAGGGTTTTATAAATAAAGAAATGCCATGTGAGAGAAGAAGGGGAGGTAAATGCAAAACGAATGAACAGAAAGCAGAAAAATCTCAATTCAGAGAGTATTTTCGCCTTTAATGTGTTCTGAGAAAGTGTTATAAACATACACACACTAAGCTCTGTTTCCTGTCTTTAAAGTTTTGTTGAAGCACAGAAAAAGCCCATTCCGTTATCTTGTGACTTGTCACAGCTTGCAACAAGTCAGTACCAATATAACTATGTATGAGAGAATCCTGAACTCTCAAACCTTAGAAAACATGCATAAATGTTAAATGAACCATTTCAAATCCCTGTAGCTAATACAAACCCAGTGAGAATTGCAGGTATAATTCCTCCTACAGCACATAGCTTTGTAAAAACACCAAAACCTGTTACATCATCAGCGCTGTCATTGCTGTTATAAGACCAAACTTGGATTCTGCTCGGAGTACAAAGTGAACCAAAGAGGATTAGAATTATTAGAAGCCAAGACTTGTGATCACCACGCACTTCCGTCAATGAGGAATCCTTCACGTCTGACTCAGAAGTACTGCGACACAGAGCCAAGCCGTGAACACCGCCGCGACCAAACTGACGCATAACGTGTTGGTGACATTCAAACTCTCTGCCGAGTCAGGAGATTTATTTTCGCCCGCAACACAACTGAACACCCGGAATGTTTCCGACACAGGAAGGATAAACACACACGCAGGTCTCCGTTAGCCCACATGACGGGCGAGAACGATAGGAAGAGCAGATTCTCTGATCTCAGTGAATGTCGCTTTGGACACATTAATGATAAAATGTTAATGATAAATAAGCATATTAACAATGGTCCACATAATAATCCAGTGCAAATACTCACCGACTTCTAAAACTATGCCACTTGAGAATGTCAGTAGAATATATTTTCAGAAAGACATATTTTTTTAAGCTGAAATGCAAAATGTATATATTTTTTGTACAGTTTTGATTTAATTACCAAGTATTCCTTCAGCAACTAGCCTCTCTTTTTAGTCTATACACGCCATGTAACAATTAATCTATTACTAAAACAGTTGCCAATTATTTCAATTATTGATTTATCATGATTAATCACTAAACGATGATGGACAAATGGATGGAAACATGATTGAAGTCACAAATGGACAAGCTAATAGTGAAACAGACAGATGGGAACAATCTTTAGACAATGGTTAGACTCTGTCTCATTGTCTTAAATTTGTTTCTTTATGGGCTTTTTTTATGATCAGTTTGCTAATCTCTGCTGTCTTGAAATATGCAGTCATTAAAAAAAAACATCTGGCGCTGGAGTACCAAATGAGCAGGCTGAGCAATACTGATAGATTCACTGGAGTAGCTGTTTAGTTGATGTGCATTTTATTTTTAACTTCATGAAATTTTAAAAGACTGGCTAATCAGAATAACTAACTAAGCAAAGGATCGACTAAACTAGCTTAATCTCAACTGCTGAAGCAAACAAATCAGGAAATGCAGATAGCTTTAGGTGTATAGAGTAAAGAACCCAGATTAGAAAGCTGCAAGACAGGTAGGACAAGAGAATGTGATGTAAAATAATAATAATACATGTTTAAATATATGTAGCAGCAGAAAGTGCTAAGTTAAATAGCGTAGTAAAACACTGTTACTATCGAGGTTTCAGATGAAAACAGAGAAAGGCAAAATCTGATGAAGGGAAGAAAAAAAGATACGAGTTAGACATTTGTATAGCTAAGTGTTTTGTCGTGCATTGCAAAATTATAATGTAGAATTAGTCAAAAAAAAGTGTAATCTAAAACAAACTTGTGTCAAAAAGAGAGAAATTACAATAATTACTGTAGAAAAAGTTGCATGAAGCTCAAACATGATTTCATCTCAGGCTTTAGGCAGAAAACATGTAAAAGCATAATTATAATACAGATTATTGAATAAATAGCAAATCTGTTCTTATTCCTCACTTTGCCTCAAAAGCACAGTAATTACAGCCGACGTTTTAATTTCTGTTTGCTTACATTCAGCTGGTATCATATTTCAGAAGAGAGCAGGAAAGAGCTCATTTAGCTGAGCTGATGTTGAGAAGGAACATTAAACAGTTTTATTTTAAAAAACATCATTTTCATCTCCTGCCTTTGATCTTCTGCTTTCCTGCTCACATCTCCCTCATACACAAACAAGAAAACCCACGGCTCTTTTATTGCCGTCCTGCGACATGCCTCCTGTTATGGAACGAATTGGAGACACTGCTACAGTGAGATGTGTCAGAGAGGCTTTTGTGCCATTTCAAATGGCAACCCATTCCCCCTTGACCTTTCTGCAGATGTGGCAGCAATTTTTGGGGGCTTTTTGTGGATGAAAAAAAAGACGTCATCTTGTCTAATTACCGCAGAACAATCAGGGGATTGAGAGGAAGGGATGAGATTCACTCATCATAAGACTCCCATTTAGCAGATGATGGATTGCATTGCTAATTTTAAGACATGACTACATGTCGTGTGTGTCTGAATCAAAATATAACAGGAGGCATCATACCTTTATCGATGACCTCATATTGGTAAACTACTGTGGTAACATATGTATCAGGAGCAAAGCAGAAGTCACTCGAGCTCTGAAAACAAGAAAATTCAGATCTGAAATTAGTCACTGATCAACTCGAATAACACTAAACAAATATATTAATATACATTAAAGTTATTGCATTAAGAAAAAGCTGGATCAATCTCAGCTGGAAAGCACTTATTCATGCTAATTCAGGCACAAGAGGCAAAGATTATAAAGTGAATGCATAATTTCTTAATTTGCATAAATGAAGATTAACTTGCGTCAACATTAAAACTAGACGTCCATTAAAGCTAGGTAAATGAAAAAAGAAAACTGGATTTATAATGCTCTATTGTGCATTTTAGTACATTATATTCTCAGTGAAGAACACAACAAACAGCTTCCCCTTTAACAGTACGGCTGCCGTTCTAATAACAGCTGCCAGGCTTCAATTCCAGGCTTTAATCATTGTTATCAGTCTTCAGGATTTCTGGAAAAAGCTAAGTGAACCAAAAAATGGACACAGGTGTTTTACTGAAGCAACACCTATAACAATACGTCTATTAAAAATGGAATTTGCGAAACCTTTATTCATTCTGAGATCATTTGAGTGTTTCACTTCACTTTCATCAAGATTCTAGCAGAAAAACCATATTGAACAATTACATGTGTTAAACAGAGCAGTTCCACCAGGTAAACAAGATCGTTCCCTGCAGACACTCACCGCAGAAACGGCCAGTTCCAGCCCCAGGGAGACCCAGCTGATAATAATAGCTACGACACCGAACAACCACACCCTGTGGGAAGCAAGAGGAGGTCAGGAGACGCTTCAGCAGCATTAGACCATTGCATCAAGAGGTACACTTCCATAAAGAGAGGCTTAACACAATAAAACTGATTAAATTACACGGTCAAACTGAACAGTTTCTGTGAATCTACCATAAGGCTCCAATTTAACAAACATAAATCTGAAATGATTTTTGAGCTCGACATCTGTGAAGTAAGTACTAATACAATTCCGTTCTATTTTTAAAGAAAGAAAATAATTGAAATTATTGCTTAGGTGTTTTATTTAGGTTTCTGCAAAATTTGGGGCTACGATTAAAAAAAAAAAAAAGAAAAAAAAAGGCGGGTTCACAAAGTTCACCGTCAACTGAACATTTTTGTGCAAGATTTAAGAAATAGGAAGTTGAAATTTCGGCATACGATGACGAATCAACACATAAGATTCTTCGTTAGTATTCATTTATCCAGAATGTAACATTAATTTATCAGAACTATTGCCATACTAAGTTAGTTTTTGACAATATGAAGGAAATCCAACCATCCATTCATTTTCTTCCGCTTATCTGGGGTCAGGAAGGAACCGAAGGAAACGCTCAACAAAAAAAAAAACAAAAATAAAAAACACTTAGAAAAAGGAGCCATAAAACTCCTGCTGCAGCAGAGATTTTATTGTGCCTTATAAACTTGTTCCTTGTTAAAACAGATCAACAATGTGAGGAAACATTGACCAAATGATGACACTTACGCTAAAAGTATTCCCTTTGAGTTGCGAATGAGACCAAACAGAACGAGAAGGCAGATGAGGATGTCGAAGAGAAGCAACGTGATGTAGCCCAACCACCTGTGGAGAGAGTCATTTTTTATTTGATCCTTCTACCACTGAGAGAACACATTTGTTGCATAAAACTATTCTGGCATACTAGGCAATTAAATGGTAAATTACTAGGCAATTATCAATAAAAATTGATTGGTGTTTTTCAGATCTAATTATGCCAGTCTATAAAAATATGCATGAAATGAATTCCTTGTTATATGAATTAAAACAGGAGTAAGATTTGAAGAATGTATCTCACTGTACAAAGAAAAATAAAAAAAACAACAACCTAAAACCTACTAACATAGTGTTTTAGTGCAAACCGTTTAATTGGCATTCAATCTTCATAGTGATGGGTAACAGTCAGTTCCGGCTAAATTTAGGATTAATAGGAAAGCAACATTCATAAAGGGAGGCTAATCTCAACAGAGGGTGCTGCCAACAATTCAAGCAAAATAAATAAATAAATAAAGCAAAGTTTGAGTCTCTTTAGAGGCACAGACAGTTACTAACCCTATATTAACAATTAGCAACAGTTTATTTTGTGTTGAAGACACCTTACCTTCAGTGATACTTCAAAAGCACTAAACAGTCCTATTTACCTCTCAAACTGATGCTTTTCTAATCAATAGTCCAGCCTGACAGATCTTATTTTCAGTTGTGTGGTCACATTGAAGTGCACCATGAATAAAATCAGAACCCTAATCTAATAATGAGAATAAATTCAACTCCCTTGATTATAAGACAATTTTAATAAAGCAGACAAATTGTTGGTGAGCAAAGACCAAACTGCTGGCAGCTAAATACCAGGGACTACATTTTCCCTTGAATGTGCAGCCGAGTGCCTACTATTACATAACCAGTCCAAATAGTGTTATTTCTATTAACACTTTTTGCTGCACTTGCATACTTTTGGTATCATGTAAATGGCGTCTGGCCAGATTTCCATTAGAGTATTTTTTTATTAGAAAACCTTTAAGCTCGCTGCAAGCTTAATGCTGCCTAATGATGTGCTGAAGTCATTTCTTATGATTTGGGCTCCACATAAATTCCGTCTTTAGATTTCCAATAAACATCTAGGAAAATCAATTTAAGAGAGTCCAGCCACTCAAGATCATTTCACACAAGCTTTCAATATGAAAGGCAGATCGAGTTTCCACAGGGTTGTGCATTAACGTTTCAGTGTCTGCACATAAAGCTTAATAATAAAAAGATAACGTCTGCCGTTCTGTGGAGTGCACTATTATGGCCTTACCTATACCAGTCGTACAGTTCGATGCTGGTGGACAAATCTTCCAGAGAAATTAGGTTGTTGTCCCAGAAAGGAATCTCGACCATCTGCCTGACCAGCTCATCCAGTTGGCCCTGCAGCTTTTGGATGATGGAGAGGTAGTCTGCATGCTGAGCATACTGGCCCTCAAGCTGTTGCAGATTCTTGTCCACTGTCTGGTTCAATGACGACGTACTATCATATACCTAGCGTAAAACACATGGACATATGAGGACATGATTGTGTTCAGAGGGAAAAAAAAAAATACTGGATTTCACTGCAAAGTTGAAATGAAACCACAGACGCTCACAGCAGAAGAGTGTTGAATTATTTAGACATGTCCATATGACTGTCCTTGTGGTCTTACCAGCTTTTGGACTCCAGTGATTGTGCGGTTAGCGTGGCGGAGGGAATACGTCAGTCGATTCACTCCATCGCAAGTCTCGCCATTCCCATAGAAACCGACAGCTATGCCAGCACTGAGGGGGAGACAAAAACAGAGGAGGGGAGACTGGCTAGTGAGGAGGAGGGATTGGCAAAAAAAAATGAGACACAGAGAGGAGACACAGAAGAAACCAAGTGTGGGGGACAGCCAGGCAGGGTGAGAGGCGTGTGAACTCTGTTTTAACCCTGTCGGTTCGGACCCCCGTCAACGGGCTCCTTTCAGCCTCAGCAGAAAGACCCTATAGAGAACCATGGAAACACAGAGGAATGGACCAGCAATGGCCCAAAACCCCACGCTAAGGCTGACAAAGGCTGCAGTGAGGCAGTAGATCAGCTCTCATTGGCTGTGACAGGCCTCAAACGACTCAGGCAGCTACATGGGCAGAAAAAGGTACAGGAACAGAAAAAGATGTACTTACTTTACACAATTGTGCAATGGTGGCTTAATTTAGAGCTACGTTATTATCTGTTCATTTGAAACTTGTTAATATTATTTGGACTTGTCTACAATTTGCTTGCTTATAGTGACAAACTTCAATGTATTTTGTTTTGCGATGTTATGAATGCAGTTTTCTTTTCGATAACCGATCTTTAAAAAGCCCAACCTGCTAATTCTGTCTTTGGCCAACAGCAACTTTTCTTTTTATAACTGACACCGTCACCAAAGTCTCCAATAACACAAAGAAAAAAAGTTGCTAGTTGCTAGTCTGCACCAATAAAAAAAAAAAAGTCTCTTGGTGAGTTTGAAAAACCGCTAAATATAGGATGAAAAGTCACCAAGTTGGCAACAGTGGGTGACTGTTAACTGCCCACTTGTAGACGTGACTTGGTGGGCGGGTCCACCAGTCATCTCTCTTTCACGACAGAGAAAAAGAGGACAGTGGCTGACTTTCAGACATTTGCAGAGTTAAACAAGACTGGTGGATAAGATTGGTTTCACATGCATGTATTGGCCAATCTGTAATCAACCAAAATTTTTAGAAATCGTGGCTGTGCACCCCTAATTGATATTAATTACGACGATATGGCAAACAGCATAAGAGTTAGTCTCAACAAATGCATTAAGGAGAAGCAAATTCCTACAATCTTGCACCAGCATGGATAAACTGACAGGCCAGAGGGGAGCTGGGGGTTTTCCTTCTTCCTGTATGGCTGCTAATCTCTTCCTGTCACTATGGTGAGTAAAAATAACATGAAAAACAAATTATATTTCCTGATGTCATATGAACCTACAGATTGTTGCTGCATTTGGAAAGGAGTTAGGAAAACATTCAACATACTAAATGTAAAGAAACAATAGAAATATAAGCCAAACAAAACACTGAAACTAAACTGGTAGCGTCAACCTCCCCAACCCCCCTTCCTATTTTGGCTAAAACATTAGTGCGTGGGTACAAGCGCACAGAGACGCAGTGATTGCGATGCAGTTCTTGTACTCATTGGGTCCCTGAGCTCTTTGTGCTACTCTGAATCAACTGCGGTTGCTCTCTGGAGGCCCATCAACAGGAGGAGGAAAACAGGAAACCAACGGCGTGTTCAAGGACAGAAAACATGAGCAGATGTGAAATTCTCACACCTTTGTGAAAATTGTATCCATACCCCTGCAACCAAACAATACTGTTCAGCTAAAGTTTGAGTGAGGAAAAACACTGCCTGGTTAAAACATTTGCGTCTTAATTAGAGTGGAATCTGGCAAGATGGATTCTTTCACGATTAAGAGCTTGAGAATCTGAAAATCCGACAGCGTGTTGAACACTTGCCGTGATCATGGGGCTATAACGCACAAGCATGTGGTGACATCAAAGTGCAATGTAACACTGTGAATCATGAGCGTGGGTGAAATGAAAAGCTAATTATGCTTGGCAACTCGAATTTGTGGACTGAACCGTCACCAGCGCGGTCATGAGTTTGCACTCACCTGCACACGAGTGTTGCGATGATGACGCACCAGGCCGTGCCGCAGCAGTCGGCGTTGGGCTGCTCCGAGGTTTTGCTGCGCCGGCAGCAAAGCCAAATGGAGTAGAAGAGGAGAAACAGGAGGTCCAGAACCAAACAGGCGAGCGCCAAACCCCCCAGCAACAAGATGGACTAAAGGAAAGAGGAGCAGAGTTATTATTATGTTTTAGGGTCTTTGGAAACTTTTTCAACAAATTTGCAGTATGCGTTCAGGAATATTGCGAAATAAACTTGCTTGGTCTGGCAGAACTAGGGTGTTATGCAGAACTTTCTCCTCTACAGTTGAACTGGCTGATTTCAAGTTCTCATGAAACCTCTCTAAAACCTTACCAGACTCAAAGCTTCTATAGCGTTCCTCAAGTCCACAGGCTGCTCTTTTGATCTCACCAAAGTGTTCACTTTTACTTCAAAAGGCTGAGCAACGATGTTCAAATCATATGGACCTGGTGTGATATCGTCTGGTTTTAGCTATTCAAAGTGGGAAAAATGTGAGGACAGCCCAACTATTCCTCAAATATATCTTGTTTTTTTAATACACAAACACTACAGAAGGTCTTCAGTATAAATTGTGTTAAATTAGTTAAATCGATAATGATATTAAATAGCCATATGTCTAAATATGTCAGAAAAATCCTCAGGCTTTTATAGGCTGGCCTATTTTGTTCTCCTGAAACCAACAAACACATTCACAGCTAAAACAATAACAGCAGTCACGTATGTAACAAATTTGCTGGATTATAAGTTGTCCCAGACATTATTGTGATAAATTATGGTATTGTTGTTTTGGGACCATATTAAAGTAATAAAATGGTAATGATATAATAATGCAACTTTGCCTCTTAAAAATGAATAAACTTTTAATTTGTAAGGAACACAACAGTGGAGCTGGAAGATATTTCAAACAGCCCCAAAAAAATAAACAAAATGAGCAAAAACAAAGCAATGGAAATAAAAATGACTAACAGAAATCATTAATGAAATGATTATGAAGTTTGTGTAAACAAAATTGTTTATTTTTTTTTAATATCAGAATTGACGTTATGATTAATACATTCTAAATTATAATGAATAATTACTTATTGAGGGTATAACATTTAACATTTACAATGTTAAATGCAAAAAAAAAAAACAGCTGGAGGGAAAATATGTAAAAAGAACAGGATTGCAATATACAAAACATAAAAAAGGATCTTCATGGAAAATAACTCTGGTACTCATGAGACTGTAATGACAGCATTTCCATGCTTACAGTGGAGTGATGTACAGTGATAGTTAGACCTCTCAGCCAACAGCAACACTTCATACAGTATGTAGGTCAGGCAGAAGGTTTCTGTGTTCGCTGCAGACTCCTGAGGATACACGTCTGTGGCAGATTTCCAAAACCTTGCGTTCTCCTGCTTGCTCCATTTTTATCACTTCAATGACTCGTTGTGACTAACAAATAATTTTAACGACTGCTGATTTCAATACGAGAACTTATTCTGTTCTTAAAAAACCAAGCAGATCTAACCTTTAAAGAGCGGTAACTCTGCTCCTTTCATCTACTGTGACACACGATTGTGACAGACTGGCTGATCAGACGTAGCCGGATGACTTCTTGGCTCTACGCAAACGCACAGTAATCTGGACACATCTCTGACACACTGCAACACAGCAGTCAGTCAAGGTTGCATCATTAAGAAGTGTTTGCATTGTAAGCAATAATGACAGCTCGGCCATCTGGACGAGTTGAAACGTCTTCTTAAGCCTGCGGGGCGGAGAGCTGCGTTAACAGTAATTAGCAGGATGTCATCACAGAAGGTTAACGATGCCGGTTTACGGGATGAGCCTGTGGCCGAGTGACGTCTGTCATGATTAACTTGTGATGGGAGAGAAATCACATATTTCACCAGCTAAACTACATGTGCATTTAAATACTCCACAAAAATCAGCCATGCTGTTCAAACCGCATAGCAAAATCATCCATCATCTATCCAATAACCTGCCACAGAACAGGGCTTGTGTAACACAAAGAAGTGGATCATCTTGACCATTTCCACTAAATCCTGGAGGAAATAAACGGAGCTGGCAGCAAACACCAGACGCCCACGTGAAGTGAAGGAGGACCAAACAAGAAAACAAACTGCTTCACGCCTTAAGATTAACTCGAGTTTCCAGTCCGCATACCTGTACAAGATCGAGCACATCTCCATAAAACCCCCAACGCGTGTCCGGGAACCATCTTCCTGTTTCTCTGGAACCATGAGTCGCTTCTCCAGCTTATGAATCATTTCTTCCTATTAAAGAGGAAACTCTGAATCTTGTGACTTTGTCTCCCAGAAAATCCACAAACACTGTCTGCAGTCCAGGTGTGATGTAAAAGATTGTTCTGTAATCATCCTGACTCTCATCTAAGATTATGTTTTTAACTGTTGTTTTGGTCAAAAATATTTTACTAGAGCCATTTTATTGCCTTTTCAAAAACAAAAACAAAAAACTGGATAAAGTTTCCCATTTAAAAGATGCTAAAAGTTTTTTCTCATTGGGGCAAATATCTGCTCAGCTGGATGTGTCACCAATCCAGAACATTAAAAAAAAAAAGCATGGTAATTAACACACCATAATGAGCCAAGGGATTTGAGCAACACCAAACTTCTTATTAGATTTTCAAAACTAAGCATAATTTCTTCTGAACTTGTGAACAAATCCAGTTCTCCTCTCCCCTCCCCCAGACTTAGCTGATTACTAAGCTGTGTAGACTCCACTTTGACCTTTCCCATGGTTAAAAACGCTGACATTAAATCCCATGGTTAAAAACCCAGACCGGTTGACACTCTTCTATGTTTGTTGTATTTGCAGAGCAACTCCATATTTTTAAATATTCATGTGTGCTGTAAAATATGTGATTAAAGCATACTGTCACACAAGTGGTTTCTTAGGTACTTTCAGGATGGTTTTGAAAACACCCCAAACAGAGCCAGCTGGCTTGTGTCTGGAAAAGGTCAAGGCCTGGATAGAACAGGTTCACACAGATGGTAACATGGATCACAGGGTAAATAGAACAAACAGGTGTAAACCTGTCACAATAAACCATTAATCTGTAATTCCAGGTTGCAAACATGATCCGTGAACTGTACACCAAAGAAGCCCTAATCCTACTGTTCCCAATTAAATGAGGCGAGTGTGTGAAGAGGGATTTTACCTGCTGATATGTCCAGTCTTCTGGTTGGAAATCACTGCTTGTTTGCTGAAACTTTAAGTCGAAGTGGGGAAGTCTGTGCAGCAGGTTCACCCACCAAGGTGGCGAGTAGCTGACCACAGCTGCCATGGCGATGAAAAGTCAGAGATCAAGTCAAAAGCAAAAAAGAAAAAAAAAAAGGATGCTTTCAGGTGTAAACAAGAAAAATAATCCACTTCCTCCAGTTTGAGTCCAAGATGGAAACGAAACGCAAAAACAGTTGATGTGTAGCATAAAAGTGTTAACGACAGCTCGTTGTGGCTGTTTAGGTAAAAAAAAACAAAAAAAAAAAACACACACACTAAAATAACTTCATTGGTGAGATATGAAACAGCTGAACAAGCGCCAGCACGAAGAGCTAACTAAAACTGGCAACTAGCCAACTAATAACCTCCTCAGTCTACCTATTTTAACTGTTGCTAACACTGAACTATTAACTATAGCACCCTGTTGTAATGTAACAGCAAACTCCAAAGAGCTAAAGCTCACTTAAAATATGCCTTTATTGAAAAAACAAAAGCAACCGAGTCTTCAGAGCTAGTTAAGACAGCAATGTAGGTTAGCTAGCTTTTAGCTGCTAGTTAGTTCTGTTCACCGATAGACGGAAGACAAGAAGAAGAAGTAGTCTCTTTTGTTCCAGTTGGCATTCTGGTCGGCACTTCTTTTCGTCCAGATTTGTCGGTTCTCCGGTCTCTTAATTAATCTTTTCCACACTTATTCCAGCGCAGATGTCTCTCTCTGTTCATTCAGACCGACTTCTCCATCCAGCTAGGAATTGAGCGCAGGAGGCTGAAGCCAACGCTGCGACTGTTCACGACAGTCCCCCAGCTGGCAGTTCAACCCAACCCCGGCCAGAACTCAACAAAACCACATCATCATCATCGGTGTGAAAAGGGATCTTGCAGCGACATCTACTGGCGAGGTGGCATTCAAGCAACGTGAGGTTCATGGAGTGTCGGGAATGCCATTACTGCTTGAAATTTCAGGAAATTTTGATTGCACATTTAGCGTGTATAAAATGGTTGCTATAGCAACGAAGGTAGACTGCAAATAGGCTGTCATTTTTTCTTTAATTAAAGAAGGAGATAAAAAATCAACGTTTAATCAATTTAAAATATATACTTTTTTATAAATGCAATATTTCAGTTGGTCATTTCCTTCAAACGTAACATTTACAGTCAACATCTTTTGACTTGAATGGTAATTTATGGATTTTATATGGAGGCATAATTTTACTCTTTACAGACATGGAAAACCAATGACATCATGTCTAAATCACTATTTCATCATTCATGGAAATACAAAAAATGAAAAATAAATAAATCAAAAATTACCTTAGTTGAGCAATTGTTGAACAAAACTGATATACTCCTGGAATACTCTAAATTTCTCCAGAAATTCTAATTACATGCCTCAGCTAAAGAACATATTGTTGTTGATGCCATTGAAATCTGACAAATACAATCAGTTTTTACACTACAAGGGTCTCCTGAAGACAAACGCCTGTATGACTTTTCCATTCAGGCATTTTTCCTGCATTGCATAAAATTGACTTTCAGAACTACACATTAACACCCCTAGTGTTTATTTCACCAGTTAAATTAAGTGTTAAACTGGTTTCCGACATCCATCTTTCATTTGTGCAATGTTGCCGAAACTAAAAACACACTGTCAAAGAGTGAGGCAGGCAAACTCCATGCATTGGTTTCTTTAAACATTATTATTATTATTATTATTATTATTATTATTATTATTATCAATATTATCATTATTATTGTTATTTATATATATTTTTTTATTTTAATATTTTTTAAATCAGGAAACCCAATGAAAATCAATAAACCTTTTTCTAATGTAATTTGCAGCAAGATATTTCATGAGAATTAAAAGGAGACATCATATTGTTGCAATTTTTATTCACTTCATTTGTTCTCTGTTAAATCCAGAATATAATCAATATTCAACACATTGTTTTATATGTTCACAACAGAGCCCTTCACTCTTCACACAGCATGTTTACTGACTATTGCTAAAGTTTCTAAATCTTTCAGTGTTGAAACTTTATTTTTAATAAAAAGGACAGTTTAACTAGCAATATCTGTGGCAGTGCTACAAACTGGACACTGTTGATCACTTTACGTCTTTCTCCTACTACTGAAAATGGCATTAAATACATTTTTATAAGTTTTTTTTTCTTTTTTACTTTTTTTTTCCTCACTGAGTCTATACCAAAAAAGGGTTAGACATCAGAAAGTTTTATTCGTGATAAAATATTCAGATGAATACACCTGATGTTTGCATTCAGAGAACTGACCAACACTAATTAATTAAACTCTTAATTATTCTTGGTAAAGTTCACATAAAGGGATGATTTGCATTGAACTCTGTCTTAAAAGCTGTCACATCTTAAGAAAAAATAATTATCTACGAGGTGTACGTGAATGCAACATTTGTTATGCATGCATATTTTTGGAGATTGAGGAACAGAGATTAAATCAAATAAACATGCACTGGTGAGACCAGGAAATAAGAAGTTATATGTAAAACCACTCGTGGTTTATTTTTATTTTTTTTGGTAGAATATAAACTATATAAGGCAATTAGGTAATGTTTAACGAAACCGAGACATAAACTCGCATATTCACGCCCCCAAAACCTTTAAAAATCCCCTCAGTGGTGTAGCTGCCGTGGCACCGCCAGCTTCCACAGCGTGTAGGTGGCAACTGGCTTCACTTCATCAGGATTTGGACTTCAACCAGGGTTCACTACAACTTTAAGACGCAAATTACTTGTTTTTCCTTCTCTGCAGGAAATCACATGGAGGTGCTCTTGTGCTCACATGACACCCAGAGCTATGGCAGGAGAGATCAATGAAGGTAACGTGTGAAAACATTTTTTGACTCTCTCTTGAGTCAGTGATTTCCATGAGACTTTATGTGACTTTTCTCGGTGTATTTGCGAAACTCGCGCGTCAAAACGCAAGGCTCTTACAACACGCTGAGATCGCGATTTGATCTCACCTCATGAGAAGTTTTCAGTGACCGATCGGAAGCAAGTTGTTCCATCTCAAAAGCTCTCATTCATGTCCTCAATTATCCCCCCGCAAACTATTGATGCTCCTTTCTTGAACCATGACCAGAAAGATCAGGACAAGTCGTTGTTTTTTCCCCTCCTTCCTGAAATCCGGTCAGGTGTGTCTTGAAAGATTTACTCAAAATGTCACATAGGGCATTCTTCTTTTTTAATCTCTTTAAATATTTGCAACTTATTAATTCTCTCAATTTAAGTCCATCCTTGTCATTTTAAAATGGAGCAAATAAAAGTTCTAGTCGCATAAAAGAAAAGACAAAGTCATATGATGTGTCACTATCCCTTTCAAAATGAAAGTTTGTCTTTTATTGATGTCATGTTATGCAAAGTAACCTCCTGGGTGTTGTGCAGTTAATGGAATATTTCTAATTTTGAGGAGGATGTGATGCTATGTAGGTGTTGTTCCCCTTTTAGGTTCAGTTCCTGCCTATTACAGAGAAGTGTATGAGGCCATCTGCTGCAGGACAGATGAGAGAGTGCAGGCTGACGTTTTTAAGCGCCTCCTGGAAAGGACCGGTCTCTCCAAGGCGGCTCTCAGCCAGGTGAGGAGTTCCTCAAGATGCTGAGAAGGCAGAAAGCTTAAGTATCTTTTGTTGGAAATTAAAGATGAAATATTTAGTAGGGATGTAGCTGGATGAATTCCCTGGAGGCGCCATTCACCTTTTTCTGACCTTTTGTAGCATATCATTTGCTTTGTGCCTTGTGAGAGCTTTGTGCACACAGGAATGCAAACCACAGTTAAAGTTGGATCTCAGACTGAAAAATGTTGACCTTCTCTTTTGTATTGTCTCTGTCTATCTTTTTTTTTTCCAGATTGCTGAGCATATTGACTGTACAGATGGATTCCTCACTAAGCTCACCCTCTACAAAGCGCTAGCTTTAATTGCTCTAGCCCAGCAAGGGAAAAAACCAAGTCCCAAACTATTCATACATGGTAAGTGACTGTGTTGCAGTGACAGCAGAAAAGTAAAGGGTTTTTGCTTAATGAGTAGCTTGGTGTCCAAAGATGGCCTCAGAAATGCATCATCTGTTCACGTGCAAGGTACAAATGTCACTCTTTTATTAGCTCTCTTGGAAGTTTTTCTCGATACTTTTACCAGTAGCATAAATTCAGCAGCAACTTTACTGCAAGTTAGCAAGTAATGTGTGTTTGGGAATGTTTTAGAAAAGCCTTTTAGATGCACATTTATTATGCTCCATTATTACTTCTTATACGGGATAAAACCGCAACATGTGCTGGGAGTCTGTGGTTACAGTGGCTTACAAAAGTAATTATATCTCTTTTTAACTTTTGTATTTTACAACCTGGATCTTTGATGTACTTTATATGAGTGAACAACAAGGCATGTTTATTGAAAAGTGGATGAAAATGTCTTGCGCAGAAATGTTTGCACAGTCTTCTTCACAAATAGCCCAGGCTAGGGGGAGAGTATCTGCAAACATACATTTTCAAGTATTGTCGAATATATTTTCAATGGATTTAAAGGCCTTCACAGAACAGCTTTATTTAGACAATGCACAGATGTACTCGATGTACAAATCCAGTGTCTTCTGAAAGTAAATGCCTTTGCATGACAGACTAAATATGGAGACATTAAAGGTTATAAATGTATATATATTTTGCAGTTTGCTCTATTTTTAAGTGTTGTGTTTTCCCTCCCTCTTTGTGGGATGATGATAGAGGGATATTTTATGGTTTTCCTAAAGGTAACTATTATGCAGACTTGACTTAGATCCATCTGCAAGCTTTAGTGTTGAATCCAGTTTTGTTATTTCAGGTGTGGGCAGCATGGCAACTTGCTTCATGCCACTTCCTGTTCTGCGCCAGGACTCTCTTTGAGTTTGCCTCAGTAAATTAAATTTTATGCACAGCTGTCTTGGAATGTCCTGGGAGGAATCATAAAAGGTTGCATGAATTACTGTCAAGAGCACTTCTATAGAGACAAACTGGGGAGAAAAAAAAAAAAAAAAAAAAGGTTGCTCAGGAAATTAAAAAAAAAGGCATTCTGAACGGTTTTGAAATTCCGGTCACTCCTAAAGTATTGATTCAATCACGGAGAACAAATGTTAGCTCTGAAATGTGTGATTTACAGAGTTGCCAAAACCCCAACTCGGAGAGCCGAGGGAACTGAGCGCTCTGAGGATGCAGCCGGCTCAAGACGACGTGCTCACCATTTCGCAGACATTTGAACAGCTTCTCACCAAAGATACAGTCCATGTGGAGCTGATTCCGGAGAAAAAGGGCCTGTTCCTCAAGCATGTGGAGTACCAGGTCACCAGCCAGGCAAGGAAATTCATATCTGCAACATGCTACAGTATCATGTTGAAATTACTCCACTATTTTATTTTTTATCAAGTAGTTTGGACAAATCCACATCAGAACAGACAAAATCAATTGTGCTCTTACCCATTTTGTAATTCAGTTTCATCGTTTTTACTTTTTAGCGTTATAAAATGTCAGTATACAGGCGGTACAGTGATTTCGACGTCTTCCACGAAGTTTTGCTGCAGAAATTTGCCTACAGAGTGGTTCCGGCACTGCCACCCAAACGGATGCTGAAGGGAGGTAGGTTTCTGTGCAGACTGCACTGTTGGGTCTCTGTTTGTTTTGTTTATTTACCAGATTTGTGTTCTGCGTCAAAATGTCATAAAGTTTTGATTTGTTTTGAGATAATTTAGGTTGAAGTTCTAGCTTTTAAAAATCTTTTTTTTTTCTAATAGACAAAG